CTCGCTCTCTCACTCGCCTCTCTCACTTTATACAATTGATCTTTTTGTATATGTATACCAAAGCAGATTATACAACTGCTTTCTTTTGTATATGTATAGCGAAATATACATATTTATGTTTGCTATGGAGCGCAATTATGCAAACTTTGTTATAGCATACAAATATGAATTTTGTGTTTGCTATATGTGAAAGTTGCTCTATAAAATATTACAACCATTTTACTTCCCAATTTAGGTGTCAAAAGAATATGAAAATCGATCGAATTTAACCGTATCGAATCAATTTATATCATTTTTCAAAAAATCATGAACTTTTATTTAAGTGTATAACCGTTCCGAACAATTGGGATCAACCGAATAACCTTACATGTATGAAAATATATTTTTATTTTAAGAATATGTTAAATTTAATATATATAAATATATTTTATTACATTTTTCAAATATAAATATAAACTAGGTCCTACGCTTCTGGTGACGGGATGACTTTGGCCTTTTGCTTTTTAGCTAGCCTTTAATTAATTAGGTATAAAACTAAAATATACTATATAGATACTCCATCAAATAATACAACAAAATCTATGCAAATACTCCTATTAAATTTTTAAGATCAAACAATGCAACTACAAGGTTTTACATGGTGAAAAAATATATTTTAATAATGATGTATTTTGAGGTGATACTTTAAAAGTAAAAAAAAATGAAAATTAACTAAATCGAACCGATATCGAAAAGAAACCGATATGATTGGGGTGGTTATACAAAATCTAATTTTGGTTATACATTATAAAATATCCGAAGAATTGGGATGATATAATTTTTTTTAAATAACCGATCGAACCGTCCCATTGACACCCCTACCAGTTCACTTTTACTTATCATATTTGGATTTGTCGCATTCATTAAAAAAACAATGATTAACATGACTATTTATCCTACTATCCATATTAATTGATATTTAGTATTAAATCTTTGAAAACTGATTTGAGAAATAAATAATTAATGGTAAGAAAAAATATAGAAAACATTATTGTCATATCTTGATAGGTTAAAAGTGACAAGTAAGAATGAAATTCTACTTTTAAAGTAGTGGAAAAGTAAAAAATGAACAGAGGGTAATTTTATTTTATTTTTAAAAAGTTAACTTTAAAACTTTTGTTTTACCTCAATTTATATTTGAGGAACTTACAGAAATGACTATAGTATAGGGGTTAATAAAGTTCACTAACTATAATTAAGATAATTACTATTTGTAACTAACTTTTAATTAGCTATCTAGCTTTATCTAAATGTATTCACCGTATTTGGCAATTGTATTCTAGCATACATATGTTATTTTTAGACAGTTACTTCAAATATAAATACGACATTTAATGTAGTACATTAATTGTGCAACAATATCTTTTTAGAAAGGAAACTTAGTGTAATATCTCAATCTTCTATAATCAATAGAACTACGAAATCTCACAATATTTTTTCATAATAAACAAAGAAATTGCACTACAAAATCTTTTCTTTTTCATTGATTTTGTTGTATCACTAATTATTACTTGTATGACATTGATACATATTATTTTTTTTGTATCAATATATTTAAGTATTTCTATAGTGTATTCATTACTAGAATACATTTATATCAATGTATACCAATGTTTTCAAGTGAAAAAAACCTATAACAATAAAAAACATAATACAAATGTAAAACAAAGAGCTAATAGGTTTGATACATTATACAAATTTATAACAAGTGGGAAGATGCATAATACATTGGTACAAAATGAATAACAAGAAATAAATATGATACATTGATACAAATGTGTGATCAATATTATATACAAACAAATACGTTTGATGCAGTAACAGTGAAACAAATACACTCAAATACATGAATACAATACAAATATAGGTACATTGATACATGAATAGAATGCATATATGTATGTGTTTGATTCCTTGAAAAGTCCTCAAATTTGCACCAAAAATCCCTCAAATTCGAGATATGAACTCCTCGTAATATATCCAATCTTTTAAAACATCACTGATTAATTGTAGTAACAATTTCATAAATCTGTAATTTGAAATTAAGTTTCAAAGCTTTCTCTCGTGACTGGTAATGAAGTTTCGGAAATCATCTCGAGCCAATAATGATGACGCTTTATCGGAGAAAGGAAGACAATGTCATTAAGTTTGAATTTGAAAAGAATTTGAAAGAATCGTCCATGAAAGAAAAGAATAAAAAAATAATCACCCATGAAAGAGGGAAGAATGTATTAATTTGGGTTATACACTAATTTGGAGAGAGAAAGGAAGAAAGATAGATAATTGATAAATACAATGCTTAGAATTAAGTTTAGAAATACGCTAATTGAAAGATACACTTTTGAATTGAAAAATAACTATAAAATGAATAGTATATAGCTCTGACCTACGAATTATAATTTTATTAAACTATACTTATATATAATAAACACATAGCATATATTGCTTTACTAGGTAGTCGTAAGTCTTATTTTAAATAATAAAATAAATATTTTTTCTTATTTTATGTAATTTACATAAATTTCATAGTGTTAAGAGCTAATTACACTATTTTCTTATTCTTTTTCAAATTACAAAAATCCCTTAAAATTTATGGATTTTGAATACATTACTAGACTTCCGGATACATCAGCAATCCGGATACATAAAGGAGGGATGTATCCGAGAGGAGAAGCATGTATCAAAGAGGCGATAGGATATCCAAATACATCAACAGACATTCAAATACATAGAGGAGAGATGTATTCGAGAGGGGAGCCATGTATCATAAAGGGAATAGGACATCCGGATACATAAGTGAGAGATGTATCCGAGGGTGGGCGAATGCATCCAAAAGGGGATAATGATGTATCAACAAGAGGGGAGTGATGTATTTTGAGCAGTGATGTATCCGAGAGGGGATTTTTGAAATTTTTTAATAAATAAAAAATTAAAAAAATTATAGTAATAAAATAAGATGTGTATTTAGTATGGAGCCGACCATTAACACCGAATGTGTAGTAGAAAAATGAAGAGATGGGGGCGCAGGGCCAGGTAAGCATGGCGATGGCAAAGAAAGAAGACGACCTGCCTGCTTGGTTGGCCTATAGATGGAGAATGGGTCCTTCATCAGTAGTGCCAGTCTGTAACACACACATTTCCTCTTTTATTTATATCAATCAATCATCTTATCATGATAATGACTACAAATTAGGAGTATTCCATACCCTTTTCCTTGTTTGGACTATCTTCAATCATGAGTCTTTTTGGCCTTGCTAATAGGTATATCTATTTGCGATTGTTTCGATTATCCCCAATTTGAGAATTGATGTTCCCCATTTGCACCAATTTTGTTTAATTTTTCAATCAATTTCAGAAACCAGAAGACTTTTCGTCCTAAAAAGAATGCTCCATCAGGAAGCAAGGTTAGATATTTGATGTTATAATTCTATCTTTTATCACTTCGTAGCAGTATTAATGATAGATGACAAATAGTTTTATTTACCTTTGTTGTTATTGCTCCAGTGATTTTCTTCTCTTTATCTTATTTCCAAATTGCAGGGTGCACAACTTAAGAAACACATTGATGCTACTTTGGGTAGTGGGAACTTGAGGGAAGCAGTACGCCTACCGCCTGGAGAAGATCTTCATGAGTGGCTCGCTGTAAATAGTATGTTCTCTATTTGTAGGAAGAATACAACTGTAAAATATCAATTGCTTGTGTTCTGTTTTGTTGATTCTCTATACTTGTTTGAGTATTCGGATGGCAGATGGTGTGTCTATCAGGTTATAAATAATTTCAGGTTAATAATTTGATACTAGGCTTTTTAGAATCTCTCATGTCGCGACTTGTGAGAATGTCGATTGACCTCACTTAGTCATTAACTTCACCTTAGCCTGCAGACGTTTACATATTAGGTTTCTGATGAATCTAAACTTTTGGTAATTGCTAGAACCACAAATTTCTGCCATATAACCTTGAAAATGGTAACAATTTTCTCTAAAAGTTCTATCGAGGAATGATTTTGTCTCAGACGTTCTAGAGGCTTTGTACAATGAAAAGGCAGACGATAACAGATGTCAATAAATCTTGTTTGTTGTGACAACTGTTTGGGGACAGTATCAGAACTGGTGTCCATGATATTGACTTAATAATAAGGATATATACTGCTTTCTAACAACTTTTGGTGTCCCTTTGTGACATCTATGTTGAATTTTTATCCCACAACCTCCTCTCTTGAATTTGTAGCATAAAACATAATATCCTTTGAGATTAAGTTGTCTGGTGTCCGCCCTTGTCTGTATATTTGCTCCAAGTACTCAGATATTGTGCATCCATACATATAATGATTTTTGAATATCTTAAGCACCTTTCTGTTGATCCTAACTTTTATATTTCTTTTTTCCTACAGCTGTTGATTTTTTCAACCAAGTGAATATCTTGTATGGCACTCTCACAGAGTTCTGCACCCCATCGAGCTGCCCGACAATGTCTGCAGGGCCAAAGTAAGTTTTTTAATCTATTCACTTTGTGGTAGATCCTATTTATTTATTAAGTACAGAAGTAACCATTGTAAGATATGTTAGACGACAATGTTACCCATCATGATTGAATCTGTTTGCTTAGAATTTAGTTAAAGCGGACTAAACCCCTCTAGGTATAATTATCATCAAAAGAGAAGGTTATTACCCATTAACATTGCAAAATTTTGAACTAGTTGTACCTGTCCATATCTAATGCCAAACTCAATTCCCAACTGCTATATTTATTTGGGATTATTGTCCCAAAATTTTTAGCACCTATCTATGCTTCCAAGTTTTCTATTATGTGTGTCTGCAGAGACCTCTGAAACTGATACGACGTTGCAAATGTCCCCAACCAACAAAGTAGAAAATTCGGACAATCCCTATTCTAGGATTTTAGTCACCAACAAAGGTCACTCATGGTCCATTCTTCTTTTCGAAAACTATGCCTGACATGCGAAGTCTTGGCTTCTCTATGTCCAAAGAGAGTCAATTGGTAACTATGATATGATGGAACATACTGCAGAGAAGCCACATCATGAAAACATGATTGCAATAATATAATACACTTGAACTTTCCTCATCATTTGACCAACATGTTTGACATTACTTATTTTGTATTATTAAGCATGACACTGTTGGTGAAAGAAGCTTCATCATTCCCGTCTATATAGCTAAACCCTCCAAGAAAATATGAGTTAAGTGAAACTCTTCAAGTGGCAGAGGGTAACATATTCTTAGATCCTAAGTACCATAACCTCCTCTTGAACAAAATATAAAGTAACGAGAGATTAAATTGTCGTTACCCTGACGATTTACTACTTTAAAAGTGCTCATTTAGAGATTCATTCAGGATGAGAGGAAGGGATGAGAAAGACGTTTTAAGAATTTTACTACCAGCTTCGGAACTGCTAGAAGAATTGCATGATAACCACGATGTTGAGAAAAATTCCAACTTGTGTGCCACATGCTTTGGTGATACCAGACTGAGTAGCTGAACAATCTCTTTCCTATGTTGTGTTTTTGAGTCCTAGATCAATACTCAATTGCACTTTGTCTGCAGTTGCTCTTCCCAGGTCTTTGCAACCTAGTGACAAGCATCTCGGAACATTTGTTTATGTATTTCAACAAATCAAGGGGTGATGGTGGTTCACAAGTTTAGGACAAACAAAGTAGAAGTGCATTAGTTGTGTATTTAGCTAACTGATTTTCGTTTTTGGAGAAATCAGAGTAGTTCATTAATTGAAAACACCAACTTTGTGTAAAAGAATGCAAAAAGTGAGTGAGTGGCTTAAACACCATTATGGTTCAAATGGAAATTTCCTCCTTACGCCAAAAAGTTCATCAAACAAAAAGAATATTTTGGAGTATCTGTATCTCTCACTATCTTCTATTTCATTCATTGCAAACTGTCACAAAATGCATAATGGTTTAACTCTTCAGATTGCCTTTCTTTCTGTATTGATCTTATGCATCCTCCTATTCACAATTGTCTCTTCCAGTCTTCTTGGTATTTCCACTGTAACAATGGGTAGTAGAAATGCAAGATTCAATACATGTGTAGTGAATTTGCAATGAAACTAGACAGTTGTCTTCTCAATTGTCTACTCCGAGAACACCAACTCATTACCATTATTATTCTCTTCCTTTAGTCATCTGTCATCAATATTGTATCCCTCACAGCACACCAAGTGAAAAAAGCTACCTTCTTCAGTTCTTTGGTATCTCATATTTACTTCCACATCTTCCCCCTAAATCATTCTCCGGATAACCCTGTGAAATGACTTAATAACTTAAAACGACTTCACCCCGCTTCCCTTCCCGTCATCCTATTCTCTTTTTCATTCCCTACAAGCCACTCTATATTTCTATGGAAAAACTCCTGTGGCTTTTGCCACCTTAAGATCCACGCGAACGCCCCTACAAGAGAATGGGTAATCAAACCATAACTAGATTGTCTCACTGGAATAACTTGTGGTGCTCCAGTCTCTGGCAATTGGCATGGCTGATACATTTTTTGCATATAACTTTTGGCAGGTACGAGTACCGTTGGGCCGACGGAGTTAATATAAAGAAACCCATAGAAGTTTCTGCTCCAAAATATGTGGATTATTTGATGGGTTGGATAGAAACTCAGCTAGATGATGAATCAATTTTTCCCCAAAATTTGGGTGGGTAATCTCTCTTTATGCTGTGCATATTACTCTGATAAAAAATTCCAAATTCAATGTCTGATCAATGGTATGCTCTACAGGTGCGCCATTTCCGTCTAACTTCCAGGATGTTGTGAAGACAATATTTAAGCGATTATTTCGTGTATATGCTCATATCTATCATTCACATTTCCAAAAGATTATCAGTCTAAAAGAAGAAGCTCATATGAATACTTGCTTTAAGCACTTTGTTCTGTTCACATGGGTAAGTGTATACTAAGTACATTTGATGTTATTGATTTAATGCATTTCATGAATTTGTAGTGCATCATATATCTATACAAGTAGAATGTGGTTAGTGTAGATTGAGGAAAACTGATGCATGCTCTTGCTTGATACAGGAGTTCCGCTTAATTGACAAGGCAGAGCTTGCACCTCTCTATGAGCTCGTTGAGTCTATTCTGCAGCTTTAGTGATGTTGTAATTCAATTCATTTTCTACAATTATTTTTCTTTCTTTCATCATTCATTGATTAGTTTGTGTGAGGAGAAGATGGTTTTGATGATGGACAGGGAAAGCCCAAAAGATGTGGGAACTTGTCCGACCCTTCGAGAATTTACCCATTTATATGAACTTCCATGATTTTTATTATTGAATTGTACCACCTTATGCTAGCATTCTCTGTAATTGAAGAAACTTCTTTACAAGTTTGCTTCCTTTGGTGTGTGCGTGTGTGTTACTGTAAAGGAAATGCCAGTCTATATCTTAGCTTAAAGACTATATTTGAGGACAAGTAATGGTAGTTATATTTGGAATTGGAGGTTAACTAAGCTTTCCCCATCTAGGGATGATGCAGTTTGAGTTCCTTTTACTGCACTTGTAATTGCCCATTCTTTTTTTAAAAATAAATAAATTAAGCCATCACTTTAACGGTGTGGGGGGTTAGGCTTGACCCCTACCAATGTCTATAACATCCAAAAAGTTACAAAAGCAGAGGAGGACATGGACCTAACTTCTAATAGAGAACAACGAGGATAAACTAAGCAATCTACATAAAGGCTGAAGTGACATTTTTATTTTTTTTAAATTTAAGCCATCACCATCACAACTTAAAGTTATTAGGTGTGGGGGTTTGGCTTGACCCCTACCAATGTCTATAACATCCAAAAAGTTACAAAAGCAGAGGAGGACATGGACCTAACTTCTAATAGAGAACAACGAGGATAAACTAAGCAATCTACATAAAGGCTGAAGTGACATTTTTATTTTTTTTAAATTTAAGCCATCACCATCACAACTTAAAGTTATTAGGTGTGGGGTTTGGCTTGACCCTACCATGTCTATAATTTCCAACATAAGTTGCACAAAAACAGAGGGGACCATGTACCTAACCTCTGGCAAAAATAGAAAGTGGAAATTAGGACATAAAAAAAGGGAAGGCAACAAACTTATAACCTTCCACTCAAGCAAAATACAAGATTCAACTAACAAAAAAATTACATTTGTCATATCTTCTTCTTATACAAGGTAGTTGCCATCTATCTAGTTGAAAGAGTCCCTTCGCTTCTTTCGAGAGCGGCTGATAAGAGAAGTAGAAGGTACCATTTCTACTCGATGAAGCTAATTTGGGTAGGAAGTCAGCCACATGGTTGGCTTCTTTATAGCAATGTGAGATGCTCACTTCTGCCTCTTCCATAGCGTTGACAGTTCGTTTGATAATGTTTTTTAGCTTCAGATTGTTGGTGTCTTTTTCTTCGAGCATATTTGTAACCACCATTGAGTCCAACTCCAGATCGTATTTGTCGTATCCAGCTCGATTACACCATTCTATTGCATAAAGTGTTGCCATTGCTTCTGCCTGATTGTTGCTTTTACATTGAGTTGGGACTGAGAAAGCCATAATGAGATGACCAGTGTCATCTCTGAGAGCCCCTCCAATGTCGGCCCTGGAAATACTTTCTTGCATATAGCTTTCATCTGTGTTGAATTTGATCCTTCCAGTCACAGGCTTGGTCCAAACGACTTGCATCCATCTTACAATAGGTCTGTACCTTTCAATTCTTGTGCAGATTTGAACCCATTTTCCTGTTAAGTCACAAGTTGGGAAGACAACACAAATAGTTGTTTTGATGTTCCATAAAATTTGCACTTCCATTCTAGATATCAAATATTTGGTCTAATCTCCATATCTACAAGATGTCCAATTTTTCTATATTTCCCATGCTATACACATGGGAGTGATTTGTTGTACCATTTTATGCACACTGTTGGCAGTGTTCATATTCCACCAAACATTGAAGAGAATTCTAATGTTGCTTCCTTGGTGATTAATTCCAAGGGGGTTTCCAAAGTAATTCCATATATGCTTAGCCATCTCACTATCACTAAACACATGTTGAATTGATTCATGTTGAGGTATTGTGCAACATAGGCATTTGGTATCCATTGGAATACCAAACCTTTGGAGTACCTCATCAAACGATAACTTTTTTAGCCTCATTCTCCAGGTAAGAAAGGATAATTTGAAAGGTAAGCACTTGTGCCAAACCTTACTCAGGATGTCATCTTTCTATCTCACTTCTCTTATGCTTTGCCAAGCAGAAGAATTTGTGTATTGACCATCTTGAGTAATGTTCCAAACAACATAGTCATTATCATTAGCATCCCCGATAGGAATGTTAGCAATATATAAGACTATATGTTCGGGGAGATCTTCCCTTAATTTATTCATGTTCTAGTTACCACCATCAATATAGTCCATAACCTTGGCGTTGTTGTTATGCACATTGTCAGGGTACAAAATAGCCAGAGGCACTTTCTCACACCAATTGTCCTACCACATATTACAACTACCACTGTTAATTTTTCAGAGAACGTTAGGTTCAGTAGCATGTCTAGCATTGACCATGAACTTCCAAGCTTGTGAATTACCAGAGGTCCAAACTTTAACAAAAGGGTGAACTCTGTGACAATACTTAGCTTTCATAAAATCAGCCCAGAGAGACTTATTGGTTCTAAATCTCCACCATCTTTTAATGGCCAAGGTTTTAGAGATGTCATCCATGTTTCTAATACCTATACCACCTTCATCTTTAGGAACACAGATTTTTCCAAGATCTTCAGTGGTGCTTGTCTCTGTTCTCATTAAAACCCCAAAAGAATCGTGCAAAATGTTTTTCTAATAGATTAATAGTACCAATAGGAGGATTAATCGCTGAGAGAGTATAAATAGGGAGTGATTGAAGAACACTTTTGATTAAAACAGTTTTACCTCCATAGGTAAGCTTCTTACCCTGCCAACCATTGAGTCTTTTTACCACTTTTGTAACCATATCATCAAAGTAAGAAATCTTTTTCCTACCAATATAGATAGGGCAACCCAAATAAGTAAAGGGAAAGTCTTTTCCAAAAAACTAGTACACTGTCTCATCCTGTTTATTCTGTAAGCACTAGCCTTAGGGTTAGTCAAAAAGAAGCTTTTATTTTTATTGACTTCTTGCCCTTAAACTTTCCCATTGTTGTTGATCTGTTTCATGTTGAGCTTAACAGATTTACTCCAACTACTGAAAATAACAATATCATCAGCATATGCTAAATGGTTAATCTGAGGACCTCTATAATGCATCGAGAAAGGGATAAAGTTATCATGAGTAAGTAAACTATTCAAAGTTCTAGAGAGGACCTCAGCACCCAAAATAAATAAAGAGGGGGACAGAGGATCACCTTGTTTTAAACCTTGAGCAGAAGAGAAAAAACCATTTCTAAATCCATTAATCAAAATAGAATACCACACATTAGAAATTAAATTCCACACTAAATTTATCCATCTAATGGAGAAGCCAAATCTTCTAAGAACATCCATTAGAAAATTCCAAGCCATTCTATCATATGCCTTAGCCATATCTAATTTGATGACAATATTACCACCAGTATTATGCTTAGACATACCATGAATTATTTCTTGAGCAAGCATGACATTTTCAGTAATCAATCTGCCCGGAATGAAACCACTTTGATTAACAGATATGAGTCTATGCAAAATAGGATTGAGCCTTCTAGATAGAATTTTAGAGACAATTTTGTTAGAAAAATTACTTAAGCTAATAGGCCTTAATTCAGAAAAGTTAGAAGGGGACTCAATTTTAGGGATAAGAGCCAAACACGTGTAAGTGAAGTATTTAGTGAGTTTTTTTCCAGAGAAAAATTCAACAACAAAGTCAAACATCATATTTAATAATATCCCAACATGTATGAAAAAACTTACCATTGAAGCCATCAGCCCCTGCACTGCTATCTGCACTCATACTGAATACAACATTTTTAATTTCATCCTCCATGGGTGCTCTGTGAAGCATATCATTATCCTCTTCAGTAATCAGCTTTGGTATGCAATCCAAAGTGCTACTGTCCAGGTTAGGTTGCCCCATATTGAAGAGATTCTTGTAATGTCTAATATCTTCCCTTGCAATCATGTTGTCCCCTTCAATCCAATTGTCTCTGTCGTCTTTGATTATGTGAATAAGAAGTATTTTTCTTCTGTCTCTTAGCACACTGTGAAAATATTTACTGTTGTAGTCCCCATCTTTGAACCAATTGATTCTAGTTTTTTGCTTTAGTAAAGCATCCTGCATTCCAAGCCATTTAACATATTCTGCATGCTCCCTATTCAAATCTTCCCTGCTTTGTTCATTGTTGTTTAGAGTGTCCATTTTTTCAAGAAGTTGGACTCTGGTCTCCCATTTGTTAACTTGCTCATGAATATCCCCAATGGTCTCTCTAGACCATTTACTAAGATTTTTGCTTAGAACCTTTAACTTACATTGGAGTCTCCACTTTGCATTGCTTGTCACATTCATGTTCTAAGAGTTTTGAACAGTCTTCAAAAAATCTGATTGTTGAGTCCATAAGTTTAAGAATCTAAAGTATATGATGAAGTCGTTTTGATTGAAAAGGGTTTGCATGAGAAGAGGCCTATGATTGGAGCCCGTCCTAGCTAAATTGTCACTCCCCGAGGCTACCCCCGAGACGCGGACACGGGACCTAGGATCACAAGTGACCCCAAGCTAACCCTGATGGGGTAATCATGAGCATACTAAAGATAAATTGAATAATAAAAACTGTGCAGAAGCTAAAATCATGAATAAAATGAAAAGATAGGGAATACCCATATACTATAACTGAGATGAATGGAAATTGATGAGTTTAATACAAAGAAGATATTAACTCAATTCTAAGCTGAATCTAACTATTTCTGAAATAAGCCTTTAAACTGACTAGAAATGTTGGGACATGCCCCAACTAGATATAGCAAAACTGAAACTAAAGGACTAAAAATACTGGGGGGAAATCATGACTATTGTACTCGGAAAATGAGGACTCACCATTGATTCTACTAAACTGAAGATCGGGAACCGTTCTAAGCGTGATCTGGATGCTGAGAACCTGAATATATATCACGAGAAGATGTAGCACACATATGCGTCAGTACTTGAAAGGTACTGAGCATGCAGGATAGAGTAAAACTGAAATAACATATAACTGAACAAAGCAATAAAGCAATGAAATAATCTGAACATGATATAGATGCTGAAATACTGAACATGACTAATTTGAATGTAATGACCAAGCTATAACATGCTGAGATTGAATACTGAAACATGGTCAATGCAATGGAGCCTGGCTAAACTATGGGAGCTACTAATAA